CAAAACGAAAAGTTGTATTTTCAGAACTCAGTCCCATTTTCAGATGTGAAAATTTCTGAACACACATTTGACAGATTGGATAAAATTTTTGCCCACAAACCAATACGTCAGTTAATTGATAATAGTATGAAACCAAATAAGGGTACTGGAAGTCAAAATCTCGAAAAAAATTGGAAAATCATACTGTCCCATTGCCCATACTCTGTCCCATTTTCAGTTTTTAAAGTTGAAATTTCCAGGTCCGAAATTTTACAGTTTTGGCCGAATTTCTGACCTGCAACCAATTAGTCAGTCAACTATAGATGCCAAATGACACGATTGAGGTGCTGGATGTTTGATTCTAGTCGGAGGAAGCTCACAGCAAAAATCTTAACAAAACGAAAAGTTGTATTTTCAAAACTCAGTCCCATTTTCATATGTGAAAATTTCTTATTTCTGAACACACATTTGACAGATTGGATGAAATTTTTGCCCACAAACCAATTAGTCAGTTAATTGATGATGGTTTGAAACCAAATAAGGGTACTGGAAGTCAAAATCTCGAAATAAATTGGAAAATCATACTGTCCCATACTCTGTCCCATTTTCAGTTTTGAACTTAAAATTTCCAGGGCCGAAATTTTATAGTTTTGGCCGAATTTCTGTCAACTATAGATGCCAAATGACACGATTGAGGTGCTGGAAGTTTGATTCGAGTCGGAGGAAGCTCACAGCAAAAATCTTAACAAAACGAAAAGTTGTATTTTCAAAACTCTGTCCCATTTTCATATGTGAAAATTTCTGAACACACATTTGACAGATTGGATGAAATTTTTGCCCACAAACCAATAAGTCAGTTAATTGATGATGGTATGAAACCGAATAAGGGTACTGGAAGTCAAAATCTCGAAAAAAATTGGAAAATCATACTGTCCCATACTCTGTCCCATTTTCAGTTTTTGAACTTAAAATTTCCAGGGCCGAAATTTTATAGTTTTGGCCGAATTTCTGTCAACTATAGATGCCAAATGAGACGATTGAGGTGCTGGAAGTTTGATTCGGGTCGGAAGAAGCTCACAGCAAAAATCTTAACAAAACGAAAAGTTGTATTTTCAGAACTCAGTCCCATTTTCAGATGTGAAAATTCTGAACAAACATTTGACAGATTGGATGAAATTTTTGCCCACAAACCAATTAGTCAGTTATTTGATGATAGTATGAAACCAAATAGGGGTACTGGAAGTCAAAATCTCGAAAAAAATTGGAAAATCATACTGTCCCATACTCTGTCCCATTTTCAGTTTTTAAAGTTGAAATTTCCAGGGCCGACATTTTACAGTTTTGGCCAAATTTCTTACCTGCAACCAATTAGTCAGTCAACTATAGATGCCAAATGACACGATTGAGGTGCTGGAAGTTTGATTCGAGTCGGAGGAAGCTCACAGCAAAAATCTTAACAAAACGAAAAGTTGTATTTTCAAAACCTTGTCCCATTTTCATATGTGCAAATTTCTGAACACACATTTGACAGATTGGATGAAATTTTTGCCCACAAACCAATAAGTCAGTTAATTGATGATGGTATGAAACCAAATAAGGGTACTGGAAGTCAAAATCTCGAAATAAATTGGAAAATCATACTGTCCCATACTCTGTCCCATTTTCAGTTTTTGAACTTAAAATTTCCTGGGCCGAAATTTTATAGTTTTGGCCGAATTTCTGTCAACTATAGATGCCAAATGACACGATTGAGGTGCTGGAAGTTTGATTCGGGTCGGAGGAAGCTCACAGCAGAAATATTAACAAAACAAAAAGTTGTATTTTCAAAACTCTGTCCCATTTTCATATGTGAAAATTTCTGAACACACATTTGACAGATTGGATGAAATTTTTGCCCACAAACCAATAAGTCAGTTAATTGATGATGGTATGAAACCAAATAAGGGTACTGGAAGTCAAAATCTCGAAATAAATTGGAAAATCATACTGTCCCATACTCTGTCCCATTTTCAGTTTTTGAAGTTAAAATTTCCAGGGCCGAAATTTTATAGTTTTGGCCGAATTTCTGACCTGCAACCAATTAGTCAGTCAACTACAGATGCCAAATGACACGATTGAGGTGCTGGAAGTTTGATTCGGGTCGGAAGAAGCTCACAGCAAAAATCTTAACAAAACGAAAAGTTGTATTTTCAGAACTCAGTCCCATTTTCAGATGTGAACACACATTTGACAGATTGGATGAAATTTTTGCTCACAAACCAATTAGTCAGTTAATTGATGATAGTATGAAACCAAATAAGGGTACTGGAAGTCAAAATCTCGAAATAAATTGGAAAATCATACTGTCCCATACTCTGTCCCATTTTCAGTTTTTGAACTTAAAATTTCCAGGGCCGAAATTTTATAGTTTTGGCCGAATTTCTGACCTGCAACCAATTAGTCAGTCAACTACAGATGCCAAATGACACGATTGAGGTGCTGGAAGTTTGATTCGGGTCGGAAGAAGCTCACAGCAAAAATCTTAACAAAACGAAAAGTTGTATTTTCAGAACTCAGTCCCATTTTCAGATGTGAAAATTTCTGAACACACATTTGACAGATTGGATGAAATTTTTGCCCACAAACCAATAAGTCAGTTAATTGATGATGGTATGAAACCAAATAAGGGTACTGGAAGTCAAAATCTCGAAAAAAATTGGAAAATCATACTGTCCCATACTCTGTCCCATTTTCAGTTTTTGAACTTAAAATTTCCAGGGCCGAAATTTTATAGTTTTGGCCGAATTTCTGACCTGCAACCAATTAGTCAGTCAACTACAGATGCCAAATGACACGATTGAGGTGCTGGAAGTTTGATTCGGGTCGGAGGAAGCTCACAGCAAAAATCTTAACAAAACGAAAAGTTGTATTTTCAGAACTCAGTCCCATTTTCAGATGTGAAAATTTCTGAACACACATTTGACAGATTGGATGAAATTTTTGCTCACAAACCAATTAGTCAGTTAATTGATGATAGTATGAAACCAAATAAGGGTACTGGAAGTCAAAATCTCGAAATAAATTGGAAAATCATACTGTCCCATACTCTGTCCCATTTTCAGTTTTTGAACTTAAAATTTCCAGGGCCGAAATTTTATAGTTTTGGCCGAATTTCTGACCTGCAACCAATTAGTCAGTCAACTACAGATGCCAAATGACACGATTGAGGTGCTGGAAGTTTGATTCGGGTCGGAAGAAGCTCACAGCAAAAATCTTAACAAAACGAAAAGTTGTATTTTCAGAACTCAGTCCCATTTTCAGATGTGAAAATTTCTGAACACACATTTGACAGATTGGATGAAATTTTTGCTCACAAACCAATTAGTCAGTTAATTGATGATAGTATGAAACCAAATAAGGGTACTGGAAGTCAAAATCTCGAAATAAATTGGAAAATCATACTGTCCCATACTCTGTCCCATTTTCAGTTTTTGAACTTAAAATTTCCAGGGCCGAAATTTTATAGTTTTGGCCGAATTTCTGTCAACTATAGATGCCAAATGACACGATTGAGGTGCTGGAAGTTTGATTCGGGTCGGAGGAAGCTCACAGCAGAAATCTTAACAAAACGAAAAGTTGTATTTTCAGAACTCAGTCCCATTTTCATATGTGAAAATTTCTGAACACACATTTGACAGATTGGATGAAATTTTTGCCCACAAACAAATAAGTCAGTTAATTGATGATGGTATGAAACCAAATAAGGGTACTGGAAGTCAAAATCTCGAAAAAAATTGGAAAATCATACTGTCCCATTTTCAGTTTTTGAAGTTAAAATTTCCAGGGCCTAAATTTTATAGTTTTGGCCGAATTTCTGACCTGCAACCAATTAGTCAGTCAACTATAGATGCCAAATGACACGATTGAGGTGCTGGAAGTTTGATTCGGGTCGGAGGAAGCTCACAGCAGAAAGCTTTAAAAAACGAAAAGTTGTATTTTCAAAACTCTGTCCCATTTTCAGATGTGAAAATTCCTGAACACACATTTGACAGATTGGATGAAATTTTAATCAGGGTTGGGAAAAAAGTTTTTTTCGTTTTTTTGAGAACCGGCGTTTTTTGCGTTTTTTTTTTAATTGTGGCCTTTTTTTATTTGAATAACCCTGTACCTATCCACATCATTTGACCTTCCACAAAATGGCAGTTATCGTAAAATTATTAATTTTGTTAACAAATGTTTGCAGGTTGTGCCAACAAAAACCGTTCGATATTTTTCAGCTTTATTTCTATGAGGCTATGAGTATGCTATACAAATTTGTCTCGGAATAGTAACGTCAGGATTAATGATCATACTAACTATAACCACTGCGAATTTTTAAACTCGAATTTGTAAACTATCGAATTTCAAATTTGCCAATTCGTAAAAAAGCATTTAAAATGAGAAAATATCACATTATATTATATATTACTTTTAAGATATCACATTACTTTTAAGTGCAATTGATTAATGATTACTTAGAAAGTCTGTTCGAATTTTCCACATAAATCTCTCGTGAGTCATGAGGCTGTGAAAACTTCGGGATGCTGGCATTATGGTGATGGTTAAATACTAAATAGACTAATAACAAGACCAAAAGAGACCAGGTGGAGTCCAGCTAGCGAGTAGCGATTGGAAACTTACCTGGGACCACAGGCTATCATGTTCATAAACATGCCGAATAAAGATTCCGCCGAATAAAGATTCGGCGGAATGACAGGCTAAGCGCCGCCCAGTAATTGGAAACAGAAGCAGTCAGGTTTACTTCCCCTCTTGTAGTTGTAAACGCGTCTGTGAGGGTACTGAAATATTCAGACTTTATTTTTATCTGCAATGTTGGGTGTTAATTACAAATCACATGAGGTTTTAAATACAGCTCCATATATTGAGGATGCTGGGATTATGGTAATGGGTAAGTTGACTAACGCAGGAGCTAAATATAGTTAAAAACAGGTGGAGTCTAGCTTTAGCGATTGAAAACATAAACAGACATGTTTACAGGAGGGCAAGGGTGGCTCAGTTTGGTGAAAAACCAAAGTTCGCTATAAAACAGCTTGTTAAAATATCACTGCACCATTCTGATTTGAATAATTTTACAAATAACAAATCAACTTCATGATGTTCGTTCGGAGCATTATTTTCCTTTTCGCAGTTGGCCTGGTAGTGGAATCTAAAAGAAGTTGCTACTGGGGCGCTGACTATCCGTGTAATACTGTATCCGGATGTTCGTGGGGCTGCTATCATGGTCAATGCTGGAGCTCGTGTAACGGTAAGTTTTTTATTTTTTCAGTTTCTCCAAGGGACTGGGAGGGTGGGGTTTATTCTGAATTTTTGCGAAACTTGACTTTGAGATAGTAAGTGCAAGTGACCAACAAACTAGTAGCCCATGACCGAAATTGTGATGGATAGTCTAGTGGTACTGATGCCCAAACTTTGAGTGAAACGTAAATCTAAACTACATATTCTTTATGATTAACAGCTCGATTATAATATTAATATGTAAATATTTGAGCAATAATTGCATTATGTTATTGATCTAAATTTTTTCCCTACTCTTAACTTGCCGAAGGCAAAAACATCGTAGGGAATAAGTAATCGGGTTTGGATATATGAGGTGGCCCGACGCGGTCCTGCATTGACGACAAAAGTCTGCTCCTTGATCGCAATATACCACTCCCCCATAATTATTAATTATGTGTATAAAAGGAGTCTATTTTGCGCGCGCGACGCCAGTTATGTGTTACTGACACTGTTAATTAATTACAGGCATAGCAACCACTACCAGTTATTTGTGCTTGACGACTGTTACACAGATTTCCATCGGGTTACATGATTTACCCTAATTCATTAATATAGCGTATTTATACTATTAGTATTAGTCATCTGAGCGGATCAATCGTCAATATAAGTGTTATTCTGGTGAAACACGTGAAGCACGATTACAGATTATCACGTGCGCCAAACACCACTCTGGGATACAATAAAAGTAAAACAATTACCATACAAAGTAGGGAAATTTGATCGTGCGTGGTGTTACCGCGGCGAAATTTTTGTTATTTAGGCCTTTAAAAAATGTAACTAGTATTACTGACCTTCAAAAAATCATACGTTTTTTGTAATTTTTAGCTTAATTTACTTTCAGGAATCGCTATAAACTTCACCACGGATACTTGCTCGTGGAGTGCGGAATGGTGTTACTTGACGGGACACCGCGGTCTTAAGGAGAGTTGCTCAAAGGACTCAGATTGTCACAAAGTCAGGAATAACAACTGTGCAATAGGTAGTCTGTGCACGATCTAAAATCATATTGTGTAGTGGTTTTAGACCTGGATTTGGACCCCTTGTGAATATGCGATAGAATTATAATATTAATATTATATAATTATAGAAAGTTTTAGATGATTTTTCGAGATTGTTGCTTTACATTTGTTAATTTAATAGATTTTTGGATATCGATTTTAGAAGCATATTTTGGCGAATAATTTATAGTGTTTCATTGTCTCCTTTAATTCACATTACAACCCTAAAATAAGTAGATATGAGATCTACTAGGAAGAATGGTAAGGGAGTCAGTTACAGTATGTGAGACTGGGTCTTAAGTGGGCGTATCACTATCAAGAGGCTCATGTTTTCTGTCCAGTGACCAATAAGTAATAACTAGCTCATGATGAGCTGGTTATTGGTCACTGGACAGAAATTCTGTCAAAATTATGCAATTTGGGTCCAACACACAGCAAGATACAAGGGCAGGTCTCTCCCGAACGTTGGGATGGCCTGAGGTGCTTATCTCCTTTTCAGTAACCCTAAGCCACTCTGTGCCGAGGCACTATACTAGCTGTAGGGGGTTAGTCCTACGAGCCAGAGAGTGTGTATCACCAGCCGAAGCTGTACCAAATCACAGCTTGGTAACTGGCCGACTTGCATCCGACCGGATTTGAACCCGGGTCTTCTGCTTGGGAGGTGATCGTGTTACCAATACCACTACTGACTACACCACCCGGCCGACTAGTCGTGATCCTCATCGTCATTTCATTTGAACGACGCGACCCCTAAAACGTATATCATTAACGGGTGATACTCGTAAAATATTTGTTCCATTGGACCGTCGACGAGTCCAACTCTGCGCGCGTCCTCGTAGGTTATAAACCTACAAGTATATCATTGTGATCAATGATCATCTATCATAATACGTATTCCTTCATATTGGCCAATTTTGATATTTCGCCACGATTCAACAAGCAATTTTGTTTAGAATTGGATCCCGATTGGACAAAGGAAACAAGTAAGTTAAGTTAAATAAAGCTGACAATTGTCCGCAAATCTCGGACGCAACGTAACACTGTCATAGTTTTGACATTCACTCTTTCTCAACGTAAATGGTCTTTAAAACAAATCGTCATCTGTTTGTCGTCATGGTAATATCACAATTCTGAAAACCATGACAACATTTACTGACGTCATAGAAACATATTTACAACTAACGATATCAAAATCTAGTCGTCAATTCCATCAGATTTGGCTTAAATTCCAATACATCAAGTAATTTGGTACGTAGTTAAATGCAAAATACACAACAACCCAGAAATCCTAAAAATAAAGTTAAGTCAAATTTCTGAAATTAGTCATGTATAATAACATAGCATTAAATAATCGCTCTCCCCTTTTGCGACAAACGGACATTAAAATCCACATCTCAAATAATCACTTCTGTTCATCAGTCAATTTACTCTCACGCTCACATTTGAAAATATTCCATCATCAATTGTTGAATCTTCAGCTCGTGGGATCAACGATCGTGCAATATAAAAACATGCAACAAAAAAGCACTTTAGCGCTTTCTAGACAAAACAATAAAATAACCCAATTAATATAAAGCAAATACATCTACACATCCCTTCCAAAGGTGCTCCTCATTAAAATAAAGGGAAGTAATAAAATTTGTACGGACGTCTAAATGTAAGCAGCAATTCCACGAAGTGAACCAGCCTAACTGAATTAACAGCCGGTTTACAGTGGAATGCGAGGAGAGAGCACCTTTTAAGAGGGGCAAACAGAACCGTCATCTGATCAACAAAGACGGTTCGAGGATACCCCAGTATCTGGAAACATCATAATACATGCGAACAAGACCTGGCCTGCCGTTTAGGGTGGAAACACGATATAACGTTGTGACGCCACTAGTATCAAACGTGACACCACAACTCGTGCTACTCCCCGCACCGGGAGCACCAGATATATCAATACACACTGATATCCAAATACTTGCACGTGTACATATATTGCTTAAAAATCAGGGCCTGTATATATACCATACATGTATGGTAGTTACCATGGCAACTCCGTGTTGCTATGGTAAAAAGTACAACTTGGATTAATCAATGGGTACAGGAGGTGCAATATGATTAACAATTTTCTATTACAAAGCGACAAAAAGAAATGTGAACACATGATATATCATAAATACCGTGTTCCTACGCATCGCCAATATATTGGAAACTAAGACATTTTAAGTATCTATTATGAAATGTTTAAGTGCCTGAATGAAAATTGGAATCCGACATTGTTTCACGGAAATATTCCTTGCAGTTGCTTTGGTAACTTGCATATTTATAAGGGCATAAATCAATAGAATGTCGAGCAATTTTTGTCAAAAAGTATCGCACAAGTTACCATAGCAACAAAGAGCACAAAATAATAAATACTAAACTATAAAAAACTTCATTATACAAAAAAATCAAGTCTTAGCATAGTTCAGCTGATTTAACGAGATCGGTGAGGCTTTTATATAAGTAGGGAGACTGTCAAGCATTTATTAGACAATAAAAAGTGGCTTCATTTAATACATACAAACAAAAATGAGACAAAGTTCTCTCTTTAAAACAAATTAAGGCATAAAAATAACTTTTAAGCAAAAGTTAAATTTATTTTTCGGAATTTGAGAGAACTTTGTCCGGAAAAGTCATTAATTACCGAGAAAGTAATTAACATTCTACGAATGTACATATTTCTTGAAACCTGTGGAAACCGCATTTTAATGACACAGTTGCCATAGCAGCCAGTTATATTTCATTTTACTGACCACCACGGCAACTATTTAGTCAAACCCTCCACCATTCACAAAATTGTGACCCTCGTGCCACAAAAATACGGAATCCGAACGAGGTTTAAAACAAAATAATCTGATCACATCTGTACAATTCATCCCAAATCTTACCTAAATTTAATAATAGCATTTAGCAATTACTTCTTCCACTTGTGCGATGAAGCATCAATACCGAGCATGGCACACGCTATTTCGTTAAAATTATAAAAATCAGATCACTTGGGCGTAAAACATATCCTAAACAGAATGCCTTAATTAATTAATTAATCAATTAACGTGAGAAAGAGAGTGATATTCAAACGTCCATACTAAAATCTCTTACACAGCGGGAGTTAAACAGAGTGAATGTCATATCAAGTGTTCGTTGCGGTGGTGTTAAAAGTTGGTTGTCGTAGTGTCTACTACAACAACAGGAACCGAGATGCCACAAGCTCATTGCTCTGTGGCTGTCGGTACGAAAACATGTCAGCTGGCTTGGTGTGTGTCGGGCTACATAACGTTCAACAGGAATTTAAGCTGATTAGAGATGTTATATTCATTCTGAACTTCTCTAGCGCACCCTGAGAACCAGTGTGTAGGGGGAAGTGGCACGTCCGCAGCATTGGGACTGCTGAATGATAACTTGGGGCTGGCAAAATCTTGAGCTTGCTTTTGACACACAGGGGGGGTATTCTTGCGGGGCGATCTTTTCGTCTTGTTGTTGCCCCTTTCTGAGGGGGTTGCCTTGGATTCTGGTAAGAGGTTACTGTTGTAATGTAACTGTCGCTTCACAGTGTGGGGGGACGGCTGCTCTTTCTGGGGTGAACCTCTTTGTGAATTATTGCTTTTACTGGGTGAATTTTTGGTGCAATTGTTCTGTCTTTGCTTGGGTGGACTTTGTCGACCGGGGCTCGATTTGCCCGATGATAAATGTCGATCGTTTGAAACTAATTGTCCTTGCAAAACAGAGGGAACTTCATTTTCGGAGTTGGAATTGGAGTTAGAGTTCCTGGGCTTGAACTTTTTTCGAGGGTTCATCGTAGGAAGGGTAATCTTCGGAGAGCGTAACGCTAAATGAATAAATTTGATTAGAATAGGAATTGAAAGATCATTGCAAAGTTTCATTCATTTGTAAGAACCAAGTTTACTCATAAAGTAAAAGTTAAACATTCAAACGTTCAAATTATGAAGACAAATAAGTTCTAAGTTACAGAAAATTGACATGAAGATCATGTTCCAAATAGGCATATCGGATAAAAGTTACAACGTTTGAAGGGTTAATAAACTGGGGAATGTTACTATGCAACGGTATTTCAAGACGAGGAAAAGACATGTCAACGAAAAATAGAGCCACAAACGAACTAACTTTAACTGAGAGTGGTCACATACTCAAGTTTATATATCTTTCGTAAGGTGTAGAAAATTTCAATCTCATATAACGATTTTCTGTCATGACACCTAATTAGTATGATTGGTCACATGACTTGACATCGAATCCTCATTGGCATGCCTTAATAAGTCGGATGCACAAGCCAGACCTCTAGGGGCTCATTAGTGAGAATTACAACCAATCAATAACTGGTTTTCTGTGCAAGTGTAACATAAGAGACTAATTAGAGGAAATTAGAAGTTAACTAGCTTCCATCCAACGGCAGTTAGATGTCAAATGTGTTGTACGAGGGGAAAGCAATGTCCAATAAAAGAGTTAATGCGAGAAATGAACCAAGAGGAGCTCCAAAAGAACTATATACGGGCAAAACGATTACTGCGGGCCAGTGACGACAAAGGCGTAAACCAGCAACTCCCTGTTAACTGAGTTTCTATATTTAGGACACGCGCAAACGAATGCTGCGTAATTGAATCTTGCGCGCAGAGAAACTCAGGGGTTCGCACATATCAATCCAATTCGGCTGCTAGTAGTCCAGGAGATTTAGCGGACTACATGTACGCTGAGATGGTAACAAAGACAAACTCTTTTCTGAAGAACCAGATTCAGGAAGTTCCCAGTCACGAGTATTCGATTATAATTTGGATACTCGTGTGACTGACTCGTAATCTGGTATACAAGTATCAACTGATAGCACATAGTGAGTCTGAGAGCAACAGAACGATCTACAGTTGCATTCGAGAGGTGTCAGGTGAACACAGCATAAGCCGTTATTGCACAAAAATAGAATAAAAGATAAGGCCCAATTGCAGGACAAGGAAATGAATTGTGCAACAAGAGTTGTAAAAATAAACCGGTAGCTTAATCCTCATAGCGTAAACCTTATACATGTTACAATAAACC